ATGTATATATTTTATATATACTTTTATAAATTATTATTTGTGTTTTATGCTCGTCTTTACTTTTGCCCCCTGGTATGGTCATGTTATTGTAATGTATGTGTCTATGTCTGTGTGTGTATGTATGGGCGAGGAGGGGGGTGTGTCACACTACCAAAAAGAAAAAGGAAAAATTGTCCTTAACGATTATTGTATCATGATACCTGTCAAATTAATAGACATATTTCAAAACAGTAAAAACAGACACTAAAATTAAATGTCGTTTAAAAACAACGAAAGTTTAAAATATATTCCAGTCTTTATGTTTGATCACAGAGGACACGGAGGTATTTTAAAATATGTATTGTATTCGTTCATGAAACGGGGACACATGTTATGAGCATTGCTTAAATATGTCAAATACAAAGTAGATGACATGCATACTGGCTTCTGTCCTTGTCTATGGAGCGTTTGGGATTAAAATAGAAGCATTGTGCTTTCTGAAATAATAGTACTACTGTTGAGATGTCATGCCTGGCTTGATTCCCTGAGCTCAATTAGGAGCAACAATAATCACCTGTGCTGGCTGCAGCAAGGATCCACAGGTGAATGAGATCCCCAAATCAGGTCTAAAGGGAAGGAGAGGTCATTGCTCAGTTTGCTCTCCAAAGGACTGTTTTTTGGTCTATGGAAATCACTGATTACACTTTGTTTCAAATAGTTTGTATACAAATAAAGCACATTTTCATGATAGGAAAACTATTTTCAACTATCTTTCATACTTATCCAAGAAAAAAGGTTAAAACAAACTATGTGAAAAGACTTAATTTGTAAATTGTTGGAAGTTAAAGTGACTACACCTATAACTACTACAAGATTAATGTGTTTGTAATGTTAGTAAAATATTAATGTTTCCTTTTGTATAAAAGCAGGAGTGTTTGGATAATTTCACTAGTAGACAAATCATTTAAACAGTATCTATCCACATTTGTAGATTTATACATCTAAAAGTTAATGTTTTTGTTAAAGGTTCAAATTTGAGGTACTATCACCATGGGGCATCAGGTCAGGATGCAGGAATCCAACAAGACTTGAATTTAGGTAACAGGTTTATTTCTTCAAGTTAGGTGAATCATAAGGATAACATAAGACACACATGGGATTGAACATCCATGCTGAAAGACAGTGATATTAGTACAATAAACAAGTCAAATTAGATTACTTTCTGAAAGGAAATAAAGATAAATAAAGTGCTTAGGACATATTAAAGTAGCCTAGATAGTAACTAAAATAGGAGTAAAAGCCACCTTACATTACTAAACTGCCACCCCATGTGAGGATGAAAACATGAGTTTAAGGGAGTGCAGTCTTAAATAAAGAGTAGGCAGGTGAATTCAATCTAATTAATTAGTGACAGAGTGCAAACAACAACCAATCAAGAGAAGAGAGGAAATTGAATTGAATTGAAATTAGCTCAATGAGCTGTAAGATGTACTCATATCAAATATTTTAATCATAATAAAAAAAGCAGTTTTAATCAAATTGATTATTTCAATTAAATCAATAAAAAGGTTTGTGGTATTTTCATTAAGAAAACCAAATGACAATAAACTAATTAAATTGATTAAAAAGTAAGTTTGAAAAGTAAAATTAAACCTAAGAAGAAAAGGTTTAAGGTAAAAATGTAGCTTTAATATAAACAATGATGTAAGACTCTAATTAAAAGTTATAGGGTGAAAATAAATGCATTTTATCGTTTATAAATCACTTTATATGGAGAGGGCGCCCTCTGGTGGTTAGTTATAAGAATTAAAATAAATGCATTTTATCGTTTATAAATCACTTTATATGGAGAGGGCGCCCTCTGGTGGTTAGTTATAAAAATTAAAATAAATGCATTTTATCGTTTATAAATCACTTTATATGGAGAGAGCGCCCTCTGGTGGTTAGTTATAAAAATTAAAATAAATGCATTTTATCGTTTATAAATCACTTTATATGGAGAGGGCGCCCTCTGGTGGTTAGTTATAAAAATTAAAATAAATGCATTTTATCGTTTATAAATCACTTTATATGGAGAGGGCGCCCTCTGGTGGTTAGTTATAAGAATTAAAATAAATGCATTTTATCGTTTATAAATCACTTTATATGGAGAGGGCGCCCTCTGGTGGTTAGTTATAAAAATTAAAATAAATGCATTTTATCGTTTATAAATCACTTTATATGGAGAGGGCGCCCTCTGGTGGTTAGTTATAAAAATTAAAATAAATGCATTTTATCGTTTATAAATCACTTTATATGGAGAGGGCGCCCTCTGGTGGTTAGTTGTTGGTTACTGCACTTCAATAATAAATTAACCAGACTGCTGTTTCTTTGAGTAAATTAAACACAGAAGGCTGGATGAAGAGCTTTTACTTTTAAATTAAATAAATGAAGTCTATTCGTATTACTTGAGTAAGATGAACATTTAATCTCTGAGCTCTGTGAACAGTAATGTTTAGAAAATCATTTTACCTCTGAGCTGCAGCACAGAGCGAGGAAACACCTGCACACACCTGTACAAAGAAACAAGAAGAAAACCCTGCATTCTGAGTTCAACCAACAACTTTCAACTAAAACGACATATCCGATTTTAATGAGCACTATGTAATGTGACTAATGAGACTAAATATGAATAAAGACAGACGACGTTGTTTACAAATTATTAAGTCTTTTCATTTAGTTTTAGATAAGTATAAAAGGTGGTTTCTAAATGATCTGAATTCAAACAATGTTGGTTGGTAAACTACTGTATGCTATACAGAAGTAACTGCACTATTTATATTTTTCCACACATTTATGTGTTGGAAAAAAAGGTTAAAAAGAGGATACATTTCTGTTATAGTGACTGTTGGATGTAATTGCAACCTATCGCCAGCAGAGGGCAGCAGTGTAGTATGAATGTATGATGCAGCGGTTAATTAGACCTGACTTGTTAACCTCCAGGTGAGTTATATTGTAATATTTACAGTCTATGGTTGGTTTTGGTGAGTGCTTTGGGATGTATTTTGTGTTCTTTTGGCACTTAAAAAAGATTTACTTTCCCAAATCTCCTTGTTTTTAATACACCAAAGGCTTACTATAACCTTTAGTGCCAAAGGATAGGCTGTCCTATCTGCCTTTAAAAGTCCAAAAGTGGGGCACAGATGGCCTAGCGGTTAGGATGCGCCCCCATATACAGAGGTGATAGTCGTTCAAGCAGGCGGTCCAGGTTTAAGTCTGACCTGGGGCTCTTTCCCTACATGTCCTTCCCCACCCTCTCTCCTGATTTCCTACTCTATCCAATACCATAAAGTCAAAAAGCCCAAAATAAATCTTATAAAGCCTGAGAGGACCTGGAAGAACAGGGGAAAGTTTAGACTAACAACAGAGCCTCACTAATGAGGTTTTATTTGACATATTTAAAACGACTTGCTTCCTCCTCAAACAGTCAAAACAGGTGAAAGCATATGTAAGTGGAACTGTAAATGTCAGAAAAAACCCTGTGTTGTTGCTCAGTCTTGACAAATGAGCTTCAGTGGTTTGAGTTGATTTCAGACTGAAGCTGAGGCCGCAGTCCAGAGCATTTAAATCTAAATACAGGTGCTGTGTCACAGCTCAGTGGGACCCATTGATGTGAGAAATATAAAAGCAGCCTTGTCTGCTGGACACCATCCAGACGTGTTAGCAGGGTACACCCAGCTCTGTGTATGTTAACATCATGGCTACGTGAGTAAAAGCACTCAGACCTTCCAAATAAAGAGATTCACGGCCCAGAGGATTCACCTGCCGGCCTGGACTGGTCCGTGTTTGGGGTCAACAAAAGTGTGTTGTTGTAGTGACAGTTATCAGCTATTAGTTTTGTTATCAACAATTTACAGTAGAAGATGGTGTTATTAGACCTTTGTCATATAGCCAAAAATAAATAAAAAGCATAGATTTAGGAAAAGCTGAATATATTTCCAAGTATCCCAACTGGGATTTTTTTTTTTTAAAGAGGAAATGAGTCAGTTTCCTCTGGAATTTCTTAAAGTCTTATATTTAAATGTGGAAATATAATCAAATAATAATATAATCAGCAGCATGTAGTTTCAATGATCCCATCTCACTCCTTTCGTCAAACAAGCAGCAGTCATCTCGTCTTGTTCCAGCAGAGGACCAAGACATTGTGTTGATGCATGAGAATATATCTTGTGGTGTTATTTTTACGCCGTCCCATGTTCACTTTTTTATTATAATAAATTATTCATAAATCAGTTTTTTATTTTCAGTAATTTTAAATCTGAAAATAGTAGTTTTGATTTCAATGACCTTTCATTGACCCAGAAACCCTCTTGTGGTTTATAAGGCATTTGATATTAATTTGTAAACTCAGTTATTATTTCTGTTCGTGTCATATTATTCCACATAAGCATAGATATAATAAATGTTCTATTAAGAAGCAAAACAGCAGTACCGCCTTACTTCCGGGTCAATTGAATAATGATTAGACGTCCGGCCAATCACAGAGGAGATCATGTTGAAATGCGTAGTGCAGGAAATCCATCATTTGATTGTGAATATGTAATCGGAAGTTTTTACTTGTTTAATCATTGTTTTTATTTTTTTAATGCAGTCATTTTTTAATGTAAACCATAGTTCCCATAAGTGTTGTTTGTTCTTGTTTTATAATAGATAATAATAAATAATAATAATAAAACTATCCAATATATTTGAATAAGACTATAGGCTACTTTCTAGCAAAGGAACTGTTTACATTGGTCAATTAATTCTCGACATTGTTCGGGTTTACTTCTCCTTTCACATCTTAAAATGACAAAAAAAACGTATTAATTTTCTCAAGTTCTGATAAAGTTAAAATCCAGATACATTTAATCAGTGACTCAGATTGACTGTGCTCCGTGTGATTGTTATATTTACTTTTTTTTGGACCTTTATTTGTGACGAGCGAGACAGCTGGTTGTCATGGCAACCCATATACAACAGCAGCAGGAAGCTACTGAAGAGCGAGTCTCCCCCCTTTGGGTTTTTTTTAAAACAAGTCAGTTCATAGAACCGCGCTGTTCAAAATGTCTGTGCCTAAAAACAACGTGAGAAAGGTAAATGTCAACTTACTTCCTACCTCAAGTACAATAAGTGTGTTTTTCCTTATGTAACATCAGACCACTGAGGGCGTTTACTTTTGTTTTGATGTAGGCCTCAACTGTTCAGAAAGTAACGTTACCTGGTGCGAAGGCAACCAAAGCTGCAAGTAAGAAAAAGGTGGGTCAACGAAATACCAGAAAGTGATAAAGTTCTGAATCAGTCGATTTGGCTTTCTATAGGGATGAGAAACACATTTGCTACTACAACATCATATATTTTTAAATTAACAAACTTAAATGTCTTTTGTATCTGACAGGATGAGGATGGATGGGATGACTGGTCCCACGGGAAACCCCTTCAAAAGCCTCCAGAACAACTGGAGCTAACTGAGGCTGTAAGCTGTGTGTGTGTGTGTGTGTGTGTGTGTGTGTGTGTGTGTGTGTGTGTGTGTGTGTGTGTGTGTGTGTGTGTGTGTGTGTGTGTGTGTGTGTGTGTGTGTGTGTGTGTGTGTGTGTGTGTGTGTGTGTGTGTGTGTGTGTGTGTGTGTGTGTGTGTGTGTGTGTGTGTGTGTGTGTGTGTGTGTGTGTGTGTGTGTGTGTGTGTGTGTGTGTGTGTGTGTGTGTGTGTGTGTGTCTGTCCTTCATTTCTCAAATTTAAAGGCTAACTAAACCCCATATTTTCAGTTGAACTGCTCTCACTTATGAGGGGCCGATTGTAAAAACGTTGTTTTATATATATATATATTATATATATTTTCAACATTTAGTTAATATCCTTCACATTTAGCTCGTTTTACAAATAAATAATTGCAAAGTTATTTATGATATAGATATAGATTTAAGATTTAGATATAGATTTAGATATAGATTTAAGATTTAGATATAGATTTAACATATCGATATAACATTTCGATATTTAACATTTAGATATAGATTTAACATACAGATATAACATTTAGATTTAGATTTAACATTTAAATATAGATTTAACATTTAGATATAGATTTAACATTTAGATATAAAATTTAGATTTATTATTAAATATTTCTTCAACACTTAAACTTTGCAATTATTTATGTGTAAAACGAGCTAAATGTGAAGGATATTAACTAAATATATCTAATATATCTAATATATATATATATATATATATATATATATATATATAAAACAACGTTTTTACAATCGCCACCCCATAGTCACTATGCACATTTCTAACACAATATTTCGAATTTCAATACTTTGTACTCAAATGCTGAGATTTGGACTTGAATTGATCCATAACAACACTTAATACTCAAATACAAAGGTTTATAGTTAGTTTAGTTACTCTTTAAGAAAGCTGTCTTGAGGGAATTGGCACAGACTTTTCTGTGTTTTCCAATTCCCTCAATCCAACTTGAAGTGTTCATTATCATATTTTACTCAGTGTTTACATCACTACCTCTCAAATTAGACTGAAATGTCAAACTGTGATGTAATGTGCTTTGCTTTATTACTGATATCTTTAGGAGCTGAAGGAGGAAATCACAAGGACATTGACTGCGAACAACCCACATGCTCCCCAAAATATTGTCCGCTACAGCTTCAAGGTAAGAACATTTAATACAGGCTGATTACTTCACCTCACACTGTTTCATGAAAAGTTTCTGAACTAGCTTTATTGTTCCCAAAGTTTGTTTCATTCCATTAACTACTTGATTATCTTTTTTTCCTGACAATTATACACCAAAACTCACAGGGATCTCTGCTGTAATTCCTCAAATAAGTCTCCTTCTTTCCCCTAGGAACGTTCGTACAAGCCTGCCCTTGTTGTGGATCAGATGGCTGTTCACTTTGTGATGGAGGGCAACCTCGTTTATCAAGACTCGAATGAAGCTCGAAAACTTGAGGGCCTCCCTGAGGGTAGTTCCTTAAACATTTTACAGTAACACTGCATTTAAAGTTAACGTGTTATTCCCTACAGTAAAAACTGCACACATGGCATGTTCCATAGTTTGTTGTTAAGGCAGGCAATGTTTTCTTCTCTGCTGTAGTACATACATAATGCCACAAGGTGTCACTTTCAGCATATGCCCTGAAAAACCAGCAAATGTCATGAAAAATAATCAGCTCATTAGTCAATTAATGATTTCATATTTGTTATTTTCCAGAGACTGTGAAAGCCAGCACTGAGGCACATCCTGATGAGGAGAAACCAGATACCCCGGTAAATACATGTTTTCTTTATTTAAATCAGAATGCTGGTTATGTTGAACGATATACATTCAATTCTTACAGATGCAAGCAGGGTCCTGTTAATTCACATTTTCTTACGAGAAAGTGACTTGAGCTAACTTAACTGTTTGTTTTCCACAGGTTACACCTGTAGAAGATGGAGCGGAAGCAGAGAAAGCCGGAGAAGAGTACAGGCCGGACAGTGCTGCCTCCAAAGCTGACAAGAAGGAGCCAAAAGTTACAAAAAACCAGTTCAACTTCAGTGAAAGGGCTTCCCAGACCCTCAATAACCCACTGAGGGTAAGAATGAGAAGATGCATCTTGTCTCATACCACATCAAACAGCTTTAACAGAGAAGCTGAAATGTCTGAAGTTTAAATATTGGATGGTTAGATGATAAGGCACATACTAATAATGATGTGTGTATACTCAAAGCCATATGGCCTTTAGTTTTTGACATCAATTCAATTTTCCTGCAGGAAAGAAGCTGCCAAACTGAACCTCCTCAACGCTGCACCTTCTCTGCCAACGCTAATCAGGTTTACGCTTTCTCTGACTTTTTCCAAACACAGTTGAGTATCACTGAATACATGCACTCACAAGGACCAACTGTAATATTTCTACTCCCTTTGCAGTGGGAGATCTATGATGCATATGTGGAGGAGCTGCAGAAACAAGAAAAAAATAAAGAGAAGCAGAAAACCATCCAGTTAAAGAAAGATGTTGACAAAAAGAAGAAGAAGATGATGCTGATGGAAACTCAGGTAAATTGAGTACTCACTAACTTCTCTGTGTCATCTTTGGCAACTTTGGATTAGACAAAAAGAGAAGGTTGATTTTTGAGTTTCAAAGTAAAAAACATACAAGCAATGAATACAATCAAATTTGGTTTAGAAGCAATCCATTCAAAAGCAGCATACATATACACAAACGAAGGTTATTCCTTTAGTCTAATAAAAAACGTATCTGCTTTAAGGTTTCTGCACTTTTCCATATGAAATGTTGTCATGTGTCTGTTATAGAATGATGACATCAACAAAGTGGGCAAGGTAGCCAAGATCATTGAACGAATGCTCCACCAGAATACATTTGATGACATAGCACAAGGTAAATAAATGTCAGTGAAAATAGCAAGACACAGTTCTAAATGTAAATCTCATTTTGGGAGAAAAAAAATGCTTTTATTTCCTCCCTCATTTCCTTTTTTGTTCTTTCAGATTTCAAATACTTTGAAGATGCATCTGATGAGTTTAGGGGCCAACAGGGGACTATTCTCCCTCTGTGGAAATTCCACTATGACAAAACCAAAAAACTGTCTGTCACCGCCCTCTGCTGGTAAGGTTGTTTAACAACTCAGCCAACATTCCCATGGATTAGAATAAAGTTCATAGCTATTCTGAGAGAAGAAACAGACTGCCACACTATCTTTTGGTTTAATGGTAAAGAGATTGACTTTGTACTTTACCGATCATTAGTTGCATTTCAAAGCTGTGCTGATTCTCCTCAATAGGAATAAAAAATATCCAGATCTTTTTTCCGTGGGACTTGGATCATGTAAGTACATTAATAAAACGGATTCATCAGTAAGCTCTTTTGGTGAAATATCTGAGTTTTCCTCTGACCTTATTAAATCTGATGTTTGATTGTTAATATATGTGGAGCAAAGTCTGTATTTGACCTTTTTTTTTTGCCTTTTTTGCAATCTCCTCTCCCGACCAGACAACTTCACCAAGCAGGGGCGTGGCATGCTTGTCTTCTATTCATTGAAGAACTCTGCCTTCCCAGAGTACATCTACCCCACCAGTTCCAGCGTCCTGTGTCTAGACATCCATGAGCAGCGTTCTTACCTGGTGGCCGTTGGCTTCTATGACGGCTGTGTGGCTGTCTATAACCTGAAGAGGGAGGGCCAAGAGCCAGTGTATAAGAGCACAGCTAAAACTGGCAAGCACACAGACCCTGTCTGGCAGGTGAGCGTGAAGGACAAGGTAGAGGTGGTGAGCGTTCAGGGTGTGTCTTACTCTCTCAATGAACTTTGTCTTGTTTTGTGAGTTTATATGAAAGTTTTGCTACTTTGAAAGCTATCACAAATCAGGTCATAAGAATTGGAAATAGACTAATGAACCTCAACTGTGCTAAGCCTCGATAACTCCCTAACCTTAAAGAGAATTATGTGCTGGAATTAAAAGAAACGTGTCCCATAATTGTGTCTAGTTCAACGTCTAGTTGTGTCTTTTTCCAAAATTATATTTTGTCACCTTTTTCCCCTGGTAGATTTATTCATTTGTATCTTTGCTCAGGTGTGCTGGCACAATGATGACATGGACAATAACCACAATTTCTATTCTGTGTCATCTGATGGCAGAGTTGTGTCCTGGACACTCATCAAGGTAATCAAAGATTAAACGCATGTATTCCTGCTGTAACGTTTACACTTCTGTTGTAGTGTAGTGTTGTAGTGTTTCTCTTATAAATGTTGAAGTCCCCATGAAACAGAACTTTGAGAGTATCCAACTGCCGTGTCAGGACATATTTCCAACTGAAACAGGACAGAACCAATCACAAGAGAGCAGGCGGGACATACACTCTGATGAATGGTCTCAAAATAAGCAAACGCCCCTTAGTGCAGGATGAGTCATGAGAAATTTGAATGGTTTTGCAGGTAGAGAAAATACAGTCATGTTGATGTTAAAATACACAGATATGGCCGTATTGACTTTAGGCAGATAAGTAAACGTTTAACACAGGAATGCTGGATTAAAACAGGGGAAATATATGTTTCAGTTCATAAGGACTTTAACTCAAACGTGCATCTCATGTAATGCACCTTTCAAGATGGACTTTAGACACATTTGTTTGCAGTGTACTTGTTTGTATGTCTATTTATATTTGCAATTGTTTGTATGGTTGTTGACGTTTGCCTGTGTTTACATTTATAAATTGAACGTGTATATACTGTATCAGTGACTTTACAAAGTGTGTTTGAATGCTTGCAGAACGAGCTGGTTTTTACCGACGTTATCAGACTGTCACTGAATGCTGAGGACAAGCCAAGCACACAGCAGGCAAGCACAGGTAATACCTCTTTTTCTCACTGACAGAGTGTATAAAATATCACTTATTAATGCAAATAATCCACTTTATTAAGATCTGATTTCAGTTCATATTTGCTGATTTCAGTTCAGCCTCAGTGTGTAACATTATATAATTTATGTTGTCTTGTCCTCTTGTAGCCTTCTCTTCTCTTCTAGCCTGTGGAACATCTATGGATTTTCATAAACAGATTGACTATCTCTTCCTCGTTGGCACAGAAGAGGGGAAAATACACAAGGTATGTTAAAGGGTTCTAATACGCAGAAGGTAATTTCTACACTTTCCTCAGGCATGTGGGAAAGCAGAACACATCAAAGTATTACTATTTAACAATAATATGATATAGAAGACAAATCAATGATACACAATTCATTCTAGCACAATCATCTATATAGTAATGCTTTACAGTCCTTAAAAATGGCAGAAATCTTTTTGAAAAAATTAAATTGTAAGTACCTGAATGATTGACTGTATTTATAATCCTCTTTTTTAAGTCTGGGTTGACAATGGTGTAAAAATCAATTCAAATAAGAGCCAGTGCCAACATTAGAGTACTGCAACGTTCAAGGCTGAGAATGACTTTATCCCTAAATGATCCTTCTTTCCATGCTTAACTTAAATCATCGTTTAGCCTGACACTGTCTCCCCCAATATCTATCCTGTAAAAAGCATTTAAAGATATCCTGCTGAGCTTGATAGTGTGTGTTCAAGAAAGGGTACATGTGCTTTTGCCTGTGCATGTGGCCTGTGGAGCAGCTCAGGCTGACATTAAGGGTTTAATAGAGGCTTCCTCTGTCCACATCAGAATCAGACAGCTGGTCCCTTTTTGGTTGGCCTCCCCCCTTCTCCATGCTTTTTCTTAAATGCTCTTGTTTCCAAAGGCAGAAAGACACAAATAAGTCCTTATTTGTTTGCTGTGCCCCATTGTAGCAGTAATTTAATATCAAGAATGTTTTGAAACAGCTCACTGTCTGACACACATCATTGAAAGTAACTTGTTTTTATTAGAGTAAACCAAGTGATTGAGGCATGTCTATCTCTAATGGTCATAAGGAGGTAACAGTGATGGGAGTTGAGGATCATTCTTCCCTGATTGGCATGGAAGATCAAATAAAAACACCAATGTCAAGCACCCATTTAGACTGGTGCACACAATGATTTGAAGGCAATGATAAAGTGCATTTGAAGCCCCAGAAGGATAGATACTATTTTTATCCACTGAACCCATGAGCCAACAAGTCCATACATTCTGTTGCAAGAGGATGCAATACAGAAATAGCAATTTTAGATATTATAATTCATGATTATAGTTATTTTAATCTAAGAAGAAGATGTTATTTATTAATCCTTCGAGGATAAATTAGATTTTACATTATGTTGTTGAGACATGCTACACATAAATAGGCTGAAGTACACACACATGCACAAACCTGTGGACATGCACTAATGGAGAGATGTCAGAGTGAGGGGGGCTGAATATGAAAGAGGCCCGAGCAGTTTGGATTCGATGCCTTGCTCACGGGCACCTTGGCAGAGCTCCGGTGCAGGAACTGGAACCTCTCCAGGATTCTGAGGTTTATTTTCAGTCGAAGAATATGGGCTTGTTGAAGAGTAATATTTACTTATTGTGGGTGAGAACAGGCAGTCTCTGGGCAATGGGGTGGTCCACCCAAATGTAACTTGTGGTTGCCAATAAGCAACTTTTGTGTGGCTATCGGCCATCTCTCTGGAGTGAATGTCAAACCCTGACTGGGATTGCATTATTTTTCCATCATATTTTTTGCATTATTAGCTTTTGACCCAAAGAACAAACCCCATTAAAACTAAGACCAACATGTATTTGAAACTTGGTCTGTGTTGCTCCACCTCACGTCTGTGTCCAAATAACTTTTTACCTTAAAACAACTTTTGAAACGATTTTGATTACATCATAGTGGCTTTGAGCCCGACAACATGATTAAAGGTATAAGGCCATCAGGGAAGCAGCAGACTGATTTTCTACTTTATTTGATGGTTGCAGAAAAGATTTGTACGTGCCGTCTGAGGAGCAACACAAACACTTTTGAAAAATCACCTTACAGATATATGGGGAGACAGAACGTGTGATGAAATTCATTCTGCCTGTCACCTCAAGGTCAAGGGCCACAGAAGACCCGGGAGAGAAGCGATGAGTAATCTTCACCTTATAGCTGCAGGTCAACCATCAAACTGTCAGTGCTTAAGAGTGCAGCAGCTGTCCCCACAAGCCAGCTAGATGTTTTATCCTTGTCCACTTAACTTATCCCTTCAATCTACTTCTGCTGGCGTATTGGTGCTTTTTAAACCACTTCCTGTCAGTTGCAGGCAAACTGGAAATGTATATGGTGATTCAACACTGAACTATAGGGGATTACTCTTTTGGGCATAATGCTTTCAGCCATATTGATGTTTAGCTTTCTTTAGTCAGCAACAGCTCAGAAAGACTTTTCCAGCAGCTTTAGATGTCAAAGTACATGTTAGAAATTCAACTCAAGTCATGTCTTATAGGTTCCATATATGATCTGTTTACTGGTCATGAAGACTTCTGCTCAGCTTGTTGTAAAAGTATTGTTAATGACGCCTTGGAAGACAGGGCATAGTGACCACCAACAATAACATTTGAGATTACTGTGTCTAGATCTGATTAAGCTGAGTCAACTGGGCTAAAGAAAAATTGGCAACTTGACAGAAATTGAGTTTTTCAAATATGAATATTAGTCATTCAAATGTTTATTATATAACTTGCATATATCAAAAATGTGCATGATGCAATTTAATTTATGAGAAAATAAACAGCACACAGAAATGATCCTGTGTTCTTAGTAGAGATATCAAACTTCTTCAATGTAGTGGGTAAAGTTACAGGTGCATCAATCACTGTTTTTTCACTAACTGAGTATTTGATACTAAATAATAATATATAAATTCTGCGTGTATACCAAATCAAGACGCTGTCTTTTCTTTCCTAGTGCTCCAAGACTTACTCAAGACAGTACCTGGAGACCTACGCTGCCCACAGCATGCCAGTGGACACGGTCAAATGGAACCACTTCCACCCAAACGTTTTCATCTCCTGCAGTTCAGACTGGACAGTCAAGATCTGGGATCACACCATCAAGTAAGACACATTTAGAGAGTGAGCGGGTGATACGGGTGGTACCACAACTATGAAAGATTGTACACCTTTTAGTAGTTACTGTAGTCATTTACACTAGTTACAGTAGTTCTCTTTTCCTTTATCATCAGATGTCATTTCCAGCACTGTGTAGTTTTTTAGCTGAAAATGATTTTCATTTTATGAATGAAGATGCGCATACTGTACAGCAAATTCATGACAGAAATGTAGGAACATAGCATGTTGATCTTATTATTGAGGGGCGTCTCCAATGTACTTGTTGCTGTAGTAGACATCCAAACCGGTCGACTCGCTTGAAGAAGAGAGTGACACCTCTGTAGAAAAGCTATACATGCTGTCTTAAAGAGTTGAAGTGAAGCTCTACTGTACTGGGTAAATGAGGAAGGCTATGATTAGGAGGAGTTCCTGTATTCCTGAATACCTTCCTGAGTTATGTATTCCTGAATTCCTGAATTCCTGTATTCTCTCATAATATCAAATTTGGTCCTTAGTCATTATTATCTTCCTATAATCATTATGGACTAACATAATTTTCCTATCCGACAGTGTGTCCCATTTCTTGTCAGCAAAGGCAGTTTGACTGAATAATGATCGTAATCATCCACCCATTATGAGACAAGAATGATCAATTATATCCCACCACACATAATGTTTCCCGGAGAGTTTGACAAGAAAACTTCCACAAACTTTACCAGACTGTGAGAAGTTAGTGAGAGCTTTACACTCCACATGACTGCAAAATTCAATATTATAAATAGTTCTCAATGAGTTGAGGAGCTTGCAGTGATGGAAGAGACTTAATCAGGGTCGGCTCGTCACACAAAAGTTTAGCTTGATAAGTTTGCTCTGACTGTACAGGATGTTCTGAGAGAGAACACTCTCTCATGAAAGACTCTGGGCCAGATTTATTGTGCCTGATTTCTGACATTTGAATGTCCACCAGAGGGCATGTTATTTCTCACAAAGGCACAACAACATGGAAGCACAGTTGAGAAACATGTGGCACAGAATAATGAAGGTTGTTTGTTGTGGTTGATTATACATGTTTATTAAGTTCATGCTACTTGTGAAGGCCAGTTTTGCACATAAAGTAGTTACTACTGTGATATACTTATGCTAACTCAAACCTATGTTTAGAATATATAGTACATGAAAATAAGTGTATCAGTCTTTTGTATAATAATAAATATACAGCAGGTTGTTGTACATGTGAACACATTGAATAACCAATATTCATAAAATATCAATTCTGGTGCAAAGTGCTTCCTTGTATGTATGTAGATTTTTCCTTCAGTGCAAAATTCAACCTACTGAAAAAGAAACCTTTGCTTACCCTGTCTCCCTGTCTCTTGCACACACACACACACACACACACACACACACACACACACACTCAACCCTTTGAGTATTGTTATTCAAAGAAGACCTGTAAGTGTCTGGTTTCATATTTCTCTTCTTTACTTTGCTTCTGGTGGGGTTTCAAGTTAATAATGTGAGGAAACAGTGTGCAAGAGCCTCCTGTTCTATCTCCACCTGTTTTCTCTGCCAGGCTCTGGTGATGCATTGTGCTTGGACAGATTGTAACAGATAACCTTAGATGGCAGTGTAAAGATTGTATCAGTCACTGTATAATTTATAATGAAGATAGATTTAGCAAACAGTCTTAGTTTTGCTGATGATGTCTGACTCTAAATTAAACACAAGCTGATGATTTGCAGTTGACTTTCATGCAAGATTATTATACATTTCAACTTCCCTGTCCAATCTTAGATGTCTGTGTTCTGTTTTTAGCACTCCAATGTTCACCTTTGACCTGAAAGCAGCTGTTGGTGATGTCGCCTGGGCTCCATACTCCTCCACTGTATTTGCTGCTGTCACCACAGATGGAACAGTAAGTGTCCCTATAAACTTGTGTTTTACAGCCCACAGCTTCACTGACGAGTTTTGCACACAGAAAAACACATGCATATACACAAACTGACAGGAATACACACTCCTTCACTTAACACCCATCCTTGCACCAGATGGTCACGCTTGCATCCCTGCAGAGGCTTGTGCTCCATCATTCCTCTTCTCACATAAAAGACAACACGGTACCAGGTATGAAAAGGCAGCTTCTTACAACAGAGGAGGCATGATATGACACCCATCAGCCTAAATATGGGGGTCGTCGACAAGATACATTTTTCTCTCTAAACCCTAATGCCAAACTTCTAAAATGTCATTTCCAAAAGATGGTCAGCAGTGACAAACACATAAATCAAAAGCTTCATTCTTTTCTTTATGCTCACTTTTTTTCAGGTCCATGTTTTTGACCTCAACATCAACAAGTATGAGCCCCTCTGCCAGCAGGCGGTGGTGGCCAAACATAGGCTGACTCACATTGAGTTTAATCCCATCCATCCTATCATCATCGTGGGCGATGACCGAGGCTATGTCACCAGCTACAAACTCTCCCCTAACCTCCGCAAGAAACAGATGGTAAGAGTCTCACTGAATCATACTCTGTTATATATATATATATATATATATATATATATTTGTAAGTACTTCTTATATTTCATTTTAGTCAAGTTCTTGCTATTTCACTTTATTTCCCTTGTTAACTGTTTTTTTCACCAATACATCAAGACAAATTCCTTGTATGTGTAAACATACTTGATTCTGATTCTGAATTGCCCCCCGTTGCACTTTCACTTCTAATAACTTGGGCTTACTCTTTCACTACACCTATTTAAAGTCTGTCTTTAAGAATAAGAAGATGAAAACGCCTTTCCAAACGTAGCTGTTTATCCACTCCATGTTTTTTTCTCTAGCTTTTATGCCTCTGTAAATAGACTTTACTGCCACATACAAATGGAGTTGACTGCTTTACAAATGAGGTATCAAGTCTTTATTTAATGTAAAGCACTTTGGTGATGTTAGTTTACGCTGCCGTTGAATGGCCTTTTGTGTTCTCTCACCTTATACACATCTTATCTGTAAATAAGTTTATGTCGGCCACATAACAAATAACCTTAGGGAAGTCGAGTGTTCTTGGTAATTGAATAAGCACGTTGGAGACATATTACTTGAAAGCAGAAGATAAATTGCTATTATTTGCATGTTTTCACTGAAAATCAACGTGAAAATTAGGATTCAACAGAAACTACTGCCACCCTGGTTTTAAGGGTGCCATATTTGTTTGCTCTTCCTGCTGTCAAACAGGTAATATATAATGAGGGAACAATCTAGAAAAATATGTCCTATATACTCAAAGAAGGTTGTACTGTAGCTGAACAGGGAATCAAAATCCACTTAAGTCCATTCACAATTGTTGAGTCACTGAAGACTCTGTTGCCACTGATGACACAAGTTAATGAGCTGCAGAGTCCAGCTGAGTCACAACACTTTAGTCTGTGCCCATTTACTATCAGCCTCTCAGCCTCTCCAGTTTCCCTTTGTGTTCTTCACAATGGTGCAAGTAAACGAGACAAATTCTAATTAGTAGAGTCGTATGAATTTCATGTATTTATTTGTAACGTGTTGTTCTGCATTATAAGTCGTATTGTTGCGCACAGGGATTTTTCTTCTCCCATGTTGAACATGATTAACTTAAAACAGATAAGAGTGTATCTTTTCTTTCCTTGATGCCACGTGAGGTCATCAAAAACACAGTTTCTTCTAATAACACAAATGACAGCTGTCAGTTTAGCTTCAGGGTCTTCAGATTGTGAACGCTGGCTCACTATTTCATGCACTGAAATAATAAGCTGCATTCATTCACAGTCATTATTGTTAGTTACAACTGTGGCTTTGACTGCTCCAACATACATGTGACAAAGATTTTAAGGACACTGTAAATGTCTTGATGCATCCCCTGAGAGGTCTTGTTAAGTTTAAGTTTACCAAGTCCACATTGCATCGGTACAGGAACTCTTCAGTAATATCATGATGAAGTTTGTCACAGTCGCATGCTGAAGCTGTAATGTATGTAACCACTCAAATTTCCTAACAGGAAAACATGTGATAGTCCAAATCAATTGAGCGAAGTTAAATTATAAAAAAGATTGTATCAGGCTTCAAATTCAGTTTGATTAAAGCCTGTCATACATGTAAATGAGCTAACAGAAGTACAATGAACTCCTGCAGCAGGATAATTTGCTGGTAATTAAAACAACCTAAAATGACCTTACTTACTATTACTACTGCTGTTCAGTTTAGCATGTGGTTTTCTGACTATCTCTGCGTGTGTGTGTGTGTGTGTGTGTGTGTGTGTGTGTGTGTGTGTGTGTGTGTGTGTAGATGAAGAAGGGCCAGGAGCAGCCTAAAGGTCCAGAAGTGGAAGTGGTCAAGATGGAGAAGCTCCTCAGTCTGCTGAGGGAACCAGAGCAAAACACGGTTTAAATCTGCGAGCTGGAGTTTTTGCTGTTTCGATTTCAAAGGAATATAGTCACCAAACTGAAAATGAGATTTTTTATCAGTATTGGCCCCTGCTCAAATTCTTCTTTTGTTGTTCTGTTGAGATGTTCTACTTTGTCACAATAAAATGCAACCATAACACAAATCTATAACAGAGTCTCTATGGTTCCCGTATCAAATAACACTCCCAGTACATAATATTTAAAATTAAATATAATTCATATATTTATTTACAATTATTTACATTTGAAAGAGCCAATACAACAACATTTTCAATACATATAATTAAATGACAAACAATACAAACACAATAACCTATTTTACAGTAAAAGCGTGATGCCAAATTAAACCTAACTGAACCATGAGCTATTAAAGGTAAACATAGACAAACACTATCTGTATGCCTTTTTTGTGACACAAATACTATAAAAATATCCTAATTCATAGGACACTGTATTAAAAGTATGAATTTGTGTTTGAAAAACAAAACACCTCTGAGCTGCGTGTTAAGGTTTCCTGTAGCCCTAAGTCTGAGCTTTTTTTTTAATCTAAAGAACTGTATGTTTAGCTTTGCTTTTCAAAAGTGATCTAACACTGCGGGCTGAAGCAATAAAACTAAAAAGCCACTAAGTTTGTTTTTGTGCTGCTGATTACCTGAATGACAATCAACCAATCCATAAATATTGATGACCCCTACATCTATTTCACCTAAATCTATCATAGGTGACATGTCCCCCTACCTCACCACACCGGAGAGGTCCAAGTGTATCTCAAATTACATTGTTGAAAAATATATTGCCTAATATGTCATGGGAACACAATCTGCTTTCTTCCTCAGGAGTGAAACGCTCCAACGTACACAAGAATATGCAATCAATGAAGTTACACTTCAGATTCTTTGAGAGACTAACATGCACGTGTGATTAACAGACAATGGATTTTAATTAACATAAGCAGTAAACAGTTGCTTTATAATTAAAAAATATATTAAAAAAGAGCAAATATGTTATCTGTGATTAAGTCAAGTCACATTTATTTATAAAGAAATAAAACAAAGAAAGCAGTTTGAATTTGTATCTAGAACAAGAAAGGTGAAAAAAAGAAATTCCGAATGTAGTAATTCAGAGTGACCACAGGAGGGCGCAATTTCACCTTTAAACTCCATCTTTACACATTAGTATCTCAAACTAACTTCGGAGCTTCAGTACAAAGTTTTCACTCATCCCGTGTCTTCATAAAAACAATAAATTATATTAATAAATATTTTTTTATCAATAAAACATTTGATTTTTGACTTAGTCTTGTTTATGTGTTCTCTTATTTATAACTTTTTCATTTCTCCGATAGAAACTTTCTGCGACACTTCCGGTTGAAGCTTCCGGTAATCACGCCCAGGTGTGTTCAGGTGTTCCCAGGTGTGTATATCATTGTTTCGAGCAGGTAAGCGGTGCGGACCGCGTGTAGCGTGGCAGCATGTTGGAAGAAGAAGGAGCCGGGGAAGGAAACATGAAGTCTAGATACTCGGTGAGTAATTAAAAGTCCAGTTTTGTGTGAAAAGCTACGAAATAGAAACACGTGGGGCTGCTAACACCTGGGCTAATGCTCATGGTGACGTCATTACAAATGTTTGTTAAGCGGATAAAACGTCAGAGTAAGATGATGATAACGTTTATCAATATTATGAAGGTAACGCGACGTTTTCTTTGTCTTTTCAACTTGTTTTCTCCTGTTTTTTATTTTTATTTCACCTTTATTTATCCAGGAAAGTCCCATTGAGATTAAAAACTTATTTTTCAAGGGAGTCCTGGCCAAGAGGCAGCAAAAGTTAAACATTTACACTCTCAAAATACAGACAGCAATTAAACTTATAAAAAACAGTTATCAATTAAAATGATATAAAACAATTACAAGTAAAGGAGGTCGTCTCAAGTGCTCTCGGCCTGGATTTAAAAGCATTCAAAGAAATCAGTTCAGTTATTTTCCAATTAATTGTTTAACTTCACAACACCGGGTAAAAGTAAAGCCAAAGTTAATAAACTAATATGTAAATTAGTTAATGAGAGGTAAAATGATTTTCTAAACATTACTGTTCACAGAGCTCAGAAATTAAATGTTCATCTTGCCCAAGTAATATGAATAGACTTCATTTATTTTATTTAAAAAGTAAAAGCTTTCTGTGTTTAATTTACTCAAAGAAACAGCAGTCTGATTCATTTATTATTGAAGTGCAGTAACCAACAAATAACCACCAGAGGGCGCCCTCTCTATATAAAGTGATTTATAAACGATATAATGACTTTATTTTCAACTTATAACTTTAATTAGAGTCTTTATTCTTGTGACAGTTAATGTATGGTAAAGATTTATTATATTCTACATTTAAACTTTAAATTTAAGTTTGCTTCGGTCTCATAGAAAAGCCTTAAAGTGAAGTTAAACACAGATCATTTACAGTGAATGATAAAACCCAGGTTTATTCCAATCATCACAATGTTGTATAATCACAAACATTTTCTGAGTTTTATTAACTTGATGAACTAAAATTAGTTTTTCTTCTCCAACAGGAACTCTGTTGACGTCTTCCAGGAGGATCCCCCGTCGGTGACCGTCTTTCTGCTCCGGTAGGAGACTCAGCTTTCTTAATGTTGTTTTATTATGTTCCAGGTTTTAGGTCGTATAGATGTTTAGACTCAGTTATTTTAATCATTTCATCCTTTATATAGTGGAGGAACATCAGGTGTTTAATGAAATACTACATCTTTATAATCCTTATTTCATTAAACACCTGATGTTCCTCCAATCCAAAAAGGATCAAATGATTAAAATAACCGAGTCTAAACTTTTATACGACCTAAACCTGGAACATAATTAAACAACATTAAGAAAGGTTTGAGCTCCTACCCAATGGGGATGCCTGTGAAACCTTATTGTGCTGATGTAATAAAACTACTGCTGTATCCATTCTGCATCAGTGACTTGTGTTACATCTGTGCTCTGGTCATCTGCCAGCGGTATTTTATTTAGTTTACTGTGTGCATTGTTACTAGTCTTGAATTATCTACCAATAAGCATGTTTCCTAATGGAAAATTCTTTTTAAAAAAATAATCTAAACTTTCCTTCAAATGAAAACAAATCTAACATCTCAAGTTCACAGCTGTGTGACAAAAGAAACTACTACAAAACATGTATAAGGAATTAAAGATGCTGACAAGACAAACATGAGACAAATTAAGACTTTAACATTTTATTATCAAAGTGTCTTTAGAGAAAACTGCATATGAAAATTAAAGAAAACAGAATTTAATCTATAACTAAACAAAAGCTGAAAGAAAGCCAAAAAAACACAAGGGCTAACAGGAACAAGTAAACTTTAATCTAAAGAAACTCCTTCCAGCTGCAGCACAGATCCTACTCTTCGGAGTTCAGAGCGAGGAAACACCTGGAATATCAGACACAAGAAACAAAGACATCAGGGTTTAAAGTTCATGTCAGGTTGCATCTATGAGTAATTTACAGCTAGGATTGTACAAAACATGAAAAGTAAAATGGGCCATTCTGATACATTCATAATTTTTAATCATTTAATTAAGTCAAAATAATCTCTACATCAACATCAAAGAGAGTGTTAAGATTAAAAAAGTTTGTAGCATCATGTAAATTTTGCCCTACGAATAAAATCAAGAATATGACTATATGTGACTCAAACAGTTAAAATAAAACAAGAGCCAAGAAAAATACTCACCAAATGTTGAAGGAAGTGAGGCAGCATGGTGTAGCAGACATGCTAACAGCTCTTCATCTTGTTTTGGTCAGGCTGCCCCTAAAAAAGTGTTTAAAAAAAGAAACACATCACAATTAGTTTAAACTTCAAAATGTTTGTTATTGTAAAGTGTCTGGAGATAACTTTTCTAATGATTTGGAGACAAGTGAATAAAAAAGGACTGATTTATGAAAGTTAACATTCAGTTTGTTATCATGTCACATTGGGCCTGTTTTTTTGGAAAGTAACTACTGCTGTGTCCATTCTGCGTCACATTGACTTCAGTACCTGGGGGGGGGGGAGAGAGAACATCTGTGATCAGGTTCAGCTGCACTGCATTAGTCCTTAATGTCGTTGGTTATCTGCCAGCTGTGTTTTAATTAGTTATAGTAGTTTACATGTTTATTGTTAGCCGATAAATCTGTCGCCCAAAAGGAGAAGTCAATCAAATCCTTTTGAGGACCAAGACCTTCAACCTCGTCATACAGAGCACTGATAATAACTTTAATTATCTGTGGTTTTTAACATTCTCTCTCTCTCCAATTTGTCTGTGTGTAGAGCTGCTGCTTGAGTGTGTGAAGAACAAAGACTTAAAGAAGGTGAGTGACAGTTTCATCTCTCACTGCAGACCTTTGCACCTCATTCCTACATACTCACATGTGTCTTTCAATTTAATCATCAGCTGCAGGAGCTGCACCTGAAGGGAGCAAAGAGATGCTCCTCTACATCCTCCACAGGTGTGTGTGTGCAGTCCTCCACATGTATGGTGCACGTATGGAGTGAGTCAGAATGTTAGTTACTCTTTTGACTTATTCACCACATTGAATAAGGAGTGAAAACTACAACACACAACAACATTTAGTTTAGTCATTACCAAAGTTCTAAATTCAAACAATAAACTAATACAAGACAAAAGAAAGCTTAGTTGTTAACTTCAGTAAAGTGAAGGAGCTTACATTTCTGTTGCTGCCTGCTCTGTGCAGCTTTGAAGATTAAAGAAGGAACCCTCCACTTCCTGCTTCCTTTATAGGCAGGGCTTGATCAGTCACTTCCTGTAGCAGTCTCTGACAGGCCAACAGGGGGTGCCATTGCACCATGTGTAGCTCATTAATAGACTCCTCAGTTGTTGGTTTTTTACAATTAATGAATGTATGTGGGTTCTTTTCAACATAGGAATATGATGTTTTTTTCTTTCTGTATTCTAGTGTTTGAATAAATGGGAAACTTTCAATGACAGGCTTGTAAAACAATAAGTCAGTTCAATCAATCTTTATTTTGTAGAGCTGCTGCACTCACCCTATCTGTGCTCTGATCTCTGTTCAGTCTGTATGTAATGATATATGTGCCAGGAGGAGCTGTGCTGGCTGCAAGGTGAGGACACAAACACACTTTGTATTGTCTCTAATCTGTTACACACCAACATCAACATGAACTCATTTATTTATTATAGGACTGGAACACCATTTAAAGTGTCATGTTGCCTTCTAGTCTCAGACTGAGACCTTCATGGAGTCTTAAGGAGACATGAGGGTGTTCCAGAAAAAACAATAACTCTATTTCTCGGCCTTTTTTTGTTAACGATGCTGAGGTCACCAAACCAACAGGTCACAAAAGTTCAAATGGATCAAAGTCCAGTTCAATCAGTCAAAGATCACCTGTCTGTTTCTCTGTGAATCTGTTTTATCAACAGGAAGTGCTCTGGAGTACAACAGGAAGTGCTCTGGAGTACAACAGGAAGTGCTCTGGATTTAGCAACAGGAAGTGCTCTGGAGTGCAACAGGAAGTGCTCTGGAGTACAACAGGAAGTGCTCTGGAGTACAACAGGAAGTGCTCTGGATTTAGCAACAGGAAGTGCTCTGGAGTGCAACAGGAAGTTATAAAGGAAACAGGAAGTTGAGAGTTCTTTCTTTAATCTGCCCACAGCAGGCAGCAACAGCAATGTAAGTTCCTTTACTGAACTTAAGGTGTAGCGTTAGCATGTAGCTTAGCATTAGCCTTGTTATGCATTGCATCTGATGTAGCACACCATGTGGTTTAGCATTAACATGTGGTTTAGCATTAACATGTGGCTTAGCATTAGCATGTAGCTTAACATGTGGCTTAGCATGTAGCTAATGTCATCTATCTGCAGCTGTACTGAATGAGGTATTTTAATCCTCTGCATCTTGAGTGTCACAGTAACTTTGTCTGTTTGGTGATGTTGGATTAGCAGAGTTTAATAATACACACACACACACACACATATATACACACACAGTGGTAACACATGTTTTTATTTCTTAACACAAGGCTTTAAACAGAAAGAAGACGATTGAAACAGCTTGAACAAACTTCTTATTTTATTTATTTATTAATAAATATTTATAATATTAATCATTTCTAATATATTTTTAAATATTATAAAATATTTTATTTTTTAACAGTTTTTATTTTTACTGAATTCCCCAATTTAAATGCAAATCAAACATTTTTAACATTCTCTCTCTCTCTACAGATAGATGATCCCACACCTGTGCACCTCATTTCTACATACTCACCTGTGCATGCTTTGCTATGACGATTGTCTTTGTTGGTCCAAACTAAATCGAAACATTGTCTTTCAATTGCAGGAGCTGCACCTGAAGGGAGCAAAGAGATGGTCTGCCACATATTCACCACATTGAATAAGGACTGAAAACTACAAGACACAACAATAAACTAATACAAGTTCTTGCTAATGCTAACCTACATGCTAATGCTAACATACATGCTAAGCCACATGGTATGCTACATCAGATGCAATACATAACAAATTATAACAATGCTAAGCTACATGCTAATGCTAAACCTTAACTTCAGTAAAGGAACTTACATTGCTGTTGCTGCCTGCTGTGGGCAGCCTTGAAGATTAAAGAAACAACCCTCAACTTCCTGTTTCCTTTATAACTTCCTGTTCCCTCAATGACCTACAGAGAGGAGACTTGTCTTCTTGGTCTTAACATATCATATAAAAACTGTCTCCACTCACTTCACTGATGCTCCATATTTTACTGATGCTCCTTTTAACTTTGAACATTGTCCATTTACTATTCTGTTTTTGCACATTTACATTTAATCTTTCTATTTAAGTCTAGTAATGCTAAGTTAAGTCCTGGTTGTATATATTCTCATTCTTAGTTTTGATATTTTTACTACTTATTTACTTTGTATTTAATATTATATTGTGTTTACATTTGCTAACATTGTGTTTTTTACTCATATTGTGTGTTAGATAACCTGCTGCTGTAACGCCACAATTTACCAGTTTGGGATCAATAAAGTCATTCTATTCTATTCTTAACTTTCATACAACACTTTTAAATAAAAGGCTCTGACATGTTAAAAAACTTCACACACACTTCATTTTCTCCATAAACCCCTACTTGTGTTACTCTCCAAACACCAGGGGGAACTTTGCCCCCCCCCCAGTGGTTCCCAATGCTGCTGATTAAAGAACCCTCAACCTAATTTGTGAAATGTCCACATCAATTCTTTCTTGCTGTTATCACATCATGTATACAGTGTCTCTAGTTTAATCAATGAAGTCATTAGAATGATTATGAGTAATCTAGTTAAAGTATGGTTATAAGAAAGGCAGTTACAGTAAGCAAGCCAACACTGTCAACTAACTTTCATCAACATTCTTCAAAAAAGTGTCTGAAAAAAAACATCAGCCACACTTCATTTCTTTTTTCATAACCCCCTACTGATGTTACTCAGGAAACACCAGGGGGAACTTTGCCCCCCTAGCGGTTCCAGGCCCCGATGCCGTGGAAGCCGGAATTGAACCAGCACGTACCCGTTGCAGAAGCAAGGACGATCCCACTCGGCCACCGGCCCCTTCACACTTGGAGATGTGTTCCGGGCGTATTTATCATGGTCATTATGGATTTTGACTTTAAAATTTGCCTGATAAGATTCAAACCCTCCATCACCAGACACAGTGGGATTCAAACCCAGGCTCCCCCACCTACAGAGCTTAGAAACCACAATCTTATCCACTACACTACTGATCCCTTCACACTATGATATGAGCTCCGGGCGTATTTATCTTCATCATTTCAGATGTTGGACTTTAAAATTCACTCAGTCCTGATAAGATTCAAACCCACAACCTCCAGAGTCCAAGTCCTCCTTCTATCTCCTGAGCCACAGAGACAGATACTTGATTATGTTTCTCAGATCTCTTCAGTCTTTCCTTTGGACCAACACCTTTAAGAGAATGGTGTGTGTGTGTGTGTGTGTGTGTGTGTGTGTGTGTGTGTGTCTTTTAGGACCGACACCTTTAAAATTCACTGAGTCCTGATAAGATTTGAACCCACAACCTCCAGACTCCAAGTCCTCCTTCTATCTCCTGAGCCACAGAGACAGATGCAGACTTTCTTTCTCCTGCTGGATCTGTGTGTTGTTTTGTTCAAGTCTAAGATTTTTTTTTAAATATTTGTTAAATAAATGATTTATTGGGGGGGTGACGTCCTGCATTTGTTTGGCTTCCTGACTTGGCAGAAAGTAGGCGGAGTCAGGAAGGCCATTAGTCCAACTGGGTACACCTGAGTCCATCAGGACTCTGCTTCTAAGTGGCTTCCAGTCTAACTTGTCTCCCCTCTCTTTCTCCCAGGCCTCCACCAACTGCTTTACTTTTCTTCACACTTTCCAACACTACACTCATCCATACATTGTATTCATGACTGATTTACATAATTATCATTATTTGATAATAAATTCACTTCCTTTTAAACCTTGTTTCATGTGTGATACCCTTCCTTTGTCACGTCCTGTAACAACTCTAAAATGAAGGATGTTATGATGTCACAATTATAGGAGAATATACATATATTTAAATGATCATATACAAACACTTTTTAATGTAAAAACTACCTCATGTTTACAGTATTATCCTATTTATCCTTGTACATATTTGTTTATTGTTGATATTTAATATTATACCTTTGTACAAACACAGCACAGTTTACAAAAGTAAACTTGTGTTTAAGCATACCTGGACAATAAAGCTGATTCTGAAGGATTTCTGTGACTTTGATAACTGTTGGAAATAAACTCCTCAAAAAGTTTGGAAACATTATTTTTTCAATTATTTGGCCCCTTTAATAAAACTAATTGGTGTTGTATTTTATATCGTTGGAAAGCCTGATGAGTCACCTTTACAACGAGGTATAACTTGTAAGGATCGAGCAACGCAGCTAAACGTTTGAGTAGCGCTCTAAAAAAATGTTCCAAAATGGACACAGCAGTAGTTTTATTACAATAAAATATTGAACAGACATCATGACCTCTGTGTTTTGTACATGTTACATCAGCACAATACAATAAGGTGTCACAGGTGAGGGGGTTACATCCAGCCAGTCCCCTTCCCCCCCACTATTCTCCAGCTTCATTGGGTAGGAGCTCAAAAGCTTTCTTAATGTTGTTTTATGTTCCAGGTTGATGTTCCTCCACTCTAAATCGACTTCTTAGTAGCTGATTAAAATAACTGAGTCTAAACATCTATAAGACCTAAAACCTGGAACATAATAAAACAACATTAAGAAAGCTTTGAGTCTCCTACCTGAGCAGGAAGACGGCCACCGACGGGGGATCCTCCTGGAAGACATCAACAGAGTTCCTGTTGGAGAAGAAAAACTAATTTTAGTTCATCAAGTTAATAAAACTCAGAAAATGTTTGTGATTATACAACATTGTGATGATTGGAATAAACCTGGGTTTTATCATTCACTGTAAATGATCTGTGTTTAACTTCACTTTAAGGGTTTTGGATGAAGCAAACTTAAATTCAAAGTTTAAACGTAGAATATAATATAGTACAGACAATACAAAGTGTGTTTGTGTCCTCACCTTGATGTCCTCGTCTCCATCATGTCTCCTTGTCATTGGCCTGAATGTTTGTGTGGGCGTCGGCCTGCGTGCTCTCCAGCTGTTTGCTGCGGTTCACCAGAGACTTGACCTCAGACTTGAACTTGCTGATGTGAACTCCTCCTCCACCGCTGAGCCGTTCCCCTTTGACTCTGAGGACTGAGGACGAGGGGGAGGTTACAGATGTTGAGACTGTGAAAGATGTGTGTGTGTGTGTGTGTGTGTGTGTGTGTGTGTGTGTGTGTCCGTTCTCACAGCTGTGTTGACATCACTGGTGCCGATGATGGCGCCGATGTCACTGAGGTCTCGTAGCAGCAGGTTGAGGACCTCGGTAGCTCTCTTTCTCTGCAGACCGTTCAGCTCAGAGACACACACACACACACACGATTGTGGGATCGTCCTTGCTTCTGCAACGGGTACGTGCTGGTTCAATTCCGGCTTCCACGGCATCGGGGCCTGGAACCGCTAGGGGGGCAAAGTTCCCCCTGGTGTTTCCTGAGTAACATCAGTAGGGGGTTATGAAAAAAGAAATCAAGTGTGGCTGAACTTTTTTTCAGACACTTTTTTGAAGAATGTTGATGAAAGTTAGTTGACAGTGTTGGCTTGCTTACTGTAACTGCCTTTCTTATAACCATACTTTAACTAGCTTACTCATAACCATTCTAATGACTTCATTGATTAAACTAGAGACACTGTATACATGATGTGATAACAGCAAGAAAGAATTGATGTGGACATTTCACAAATTAGGTTGAGGGTTCTTTAATCAGCAGCATTGGGAACCACTGGGGGGGGGGCAAAGTTCCCCCTGGTGTTTGGAGAGTAACACAAGTAGGGGTTTATGGAGAAAATGAAGTGTGTGTGAAGTTTTTTAACATGTCAGAGCCTTTTATTTAAAAGTGTTGTATGAAAGTTAAGAATAGAATAGAATGACTTTATTGATCCCAAACTGGTAAATTGTGGCGTTACAGCAGCAGGTTATCTAACACACAATATGAGTAAAAAACACAATGTTAACAAATCTAAACAGAATATAATATTAAATACAAAGTAAATAAGTAGTAAAAATATCAAAACTAAGAATGAGAATATATACAACCAGGATTTAACTAACATTACTAGTCTTAAATAGAAAGATTAAATGTAAATGTACAAAAACAGAATAGTAAATGGACAATGTTCAATATGTAAAATAAAGTAAATAGTAATAAAGTAAAATATGGAGCATCAGTGAAGTGAGTGGAGACAGTTTTTATATGATATGTTAAGACCAAGAAGACAACTCTCCTCTCTGTAGGTCATTGAGGGAACAGGAAGTTATAAAGGAAACAGGAAGTTGAGGGTTGTTTCTTTAATCTTCAAGGCTGCCCACAGCAGGCAGCAACAGCAATGTAAGTTCCTTTACTGAAGTTAAGGTTTAGCATTAGCATGTAGCTTAGCATTGTTATAATTTGTTATGTATTGCATCTGATGTAGCATACCATGTGGCTTAGCATGTAGGTTAGCATTAGCATGTAGGTTAGCATTAGCAACAACTTGTATTAGTTTATTGTTGTGTCTTGTAGTTTTCAGTCCTTATTCAATGTGGTGAATATGTGGCAGACCATCTCTTTGCTCCCTTCAGGTGCAGCTCCTGCAATATTGAAAGACAATGTTTCGATTTAGTTTGGACCAACAAAGACAATCGTCATAGCAAAGCATGCACAGGTGAGTATGTAGAAATGAGGTGCACAGGTGTGGATCATCTATCTGTAGAGAGAGAGAGAATGTTAAAAATGTTTGATTTGCATTTAAATTGGGGAATTCAGTAAAAATAAAAACTGTTAAAAAATAAAATATTTTATAATATTTAAAAATATATTAGAAATGATTAATATTATAAATATTTATTAATAAATAAATAAAATAAGAAGTTTGTTCAAGCTGTTTCAATCGTCTTCTTTCTGTTTAAAGCCTTGTGTTAAGAAATAAAAACATGTGTTACCACTGTGTGTGTGTATATATATATATATATATATGTGTGTGTGTGTGTGTTATTAAACTCTGCTAATCCAACATCACCAAACAGACAAAGTTACTGTGACACTGAAGATGCAGAGGATTAAAATACCTCATTCAGTACAGCTGCAGATAGACGACAGATACTGTAGCTACATGCTAATGCTAAGCCACATGTTAATGCTAAACCACATGGTGTGCTACATCAGATGCAATAAATAACAAGGCTAATGCTAAGCTACATGCTAATGCTAAGCCACATGTTAATGCTAAACCACATGGTGTGCTACATCAGATGCAATGCATAACAAGGCTAATGCTAAGCTACATGCTAATGCTAAGCCACATGTTAATGCTAAACCACATGGTATGCTACATCAGATGCAATAAATAACAAGGCTAATGCTAAGCTACATGCTAATGCTAAGCCACATGAATGCTAAACCTTAACTTCAGTAAAGGCTAATGCTTACATGCTGATGCTTTGCTTGCTGTTGCTGCTGCTGTGGGCAGATTAAAGAAAGAACCCTCCACTTCCTGTTTCCTTTATAACTTCCTGTTGCTAAGTCCAGAGCACTTCCTGTTGCACTCCAGAGCACTTCCTGTTGATAAATCCAGAGCTACAGATATAAGAAAACCGACGAGAGAAACAGACAGGTGATCATTCAAAACAAATGCTTTGATTACATGTGGTTGTGTTGAATGGATGTTTGTAGGAACCTCAGCATCGTTAACAAAAACAGGCGGAGAAATACAGTTATTTTTAAAATAAGGGCCAATCAGAAGTCTTGGAACACCCTCATGTGCTCCCTGAGACTCCTTGAAGGTCTCGGGACTAGAAGGAAAAAACAAGAAATAACTTAACTCCATTTATAGTTTGATTTAGTTACGACCACAACCTTCCCGGTGTTACGGTCCAAGTGAGTAAAACGTCCCCTGCACACAAAGATATTTGTGGTCTTGGTCTTAGTGTGGTCATGACTACAACACTACGTGCAGCACCCTCTGCATGCAGAGTTCAGACTTCTGCAGACTGTTGGGTTTTTAAATGACATGACACTTGGATCCGGGGCCTTGTTGTTGTTATGCTGTTATGTTGGTTATGTATTTTATGTGCCATTGCACGTTAGTTTGGAATACCCAGGGTTTGGTTTTCCCTGTGATCATTCAGCAGTCTGGACAGAAAATGTGTGTGATGTGTTAGCTGGTACATACATGAGCTTCTGTCATGAGTCTCTCCTGCTCCAGTAACAGGCCCTGGTTGAAACAAAAGGAGCTCGTCCATCATCCTCTGCTTGTCTTGGATCTGGTCTCTGAGGCGGCTGAGCTGCTTGTGGTGGTTCTCCAGCTGCTCCTCCAGAGTTTTGTGGAGATGTATAAACAGATTAGAGACAATACAAAGTGTGTTTGTGTCCTCACCTTGATGTCCTCGTCTCCATCATGTCTCTCTCTCTCCTCCACCTCTTGGCTCTTCTGGTCGTAGTTGACGGCGAGCTCCTCCAGCGCTGCAGCACCTCCTTCACCTCCTCCTTCAGCTGGTTCTCCGTTTGCAGCCGGCACAGCTCCTCCTGGGAGGGACGTGGGGTCAGAGTGAGTTCATGCAAAAATGATCATCCTTATGAAATCCATGTTTAAATGAAAATAAGAAAATGACATTAAGTAATAATAATTGAGAAAATGAAAGTATTTTAAGCAGGTTGTCTCCAAACTGTGCTTCTAATGTTGTGTCTTGTCTTTAGTCTATTCTTGTCATCCAGCTGTTTGTACAGGTTGCTGATGTCCTCCTCGTATTTGCTCCGCTCGTTGCAACAATATTATTTGACTTTTCTTTCACAAAGGTAAGAAGTATTTTCAGTTGAAAAAAACAGTTAATTTAAAATGAGTAATGTATCATAATGGCTCATTGACTTTTCACGTATTGTTCAATCCTAGCTGTAAATAGATGCACACGTTTGAGTGCTCCTAAAGTAAAAGTCTGTGATAGTCCTTTTTAACTTGTAAATGTTTTCCTTTTAATTTATGTTTAATCTAAACTAGCTCAATGAGCTGTAAGAAAAAAATAATTAAATTAAATAAAAATAAATCAAACAAATTAATCATTTCAATTAAATCAATAAAAAGGTTTGTGGTATTTTCATTAAGAAAACCAAACGACAATAAACGAATTAAATTGATTAAAAAGTAAGTTTGAAAAGTAAAATTAAACCTAAGAAGAAAGGTTTAAGTAAAAATGCAGCTTTGATATAAATAATTTATCAAACAATGATGTAAGACTCTAATTAAAGTTATAGGTTGAAAATAAATGTATTTATCTTTATAATCACTTTATATGGAGAGGGCGCCCTCTGGTGGTTAGTTGTTGGTTACTGCACTTAAATAATAAATGAATTAGACTGCTGTTTCTTTGAGTAAATTAAACACAGAAGGCTGGATGAAGAACTTGTTGTCTTAGTTTACCTGTTGTTTTATTTACCTTTTAGCTGTTGTTTATTTTATTTCCTTTTAGCTGTTGTTTAGTTTTATTTCCTTTTAGCTGTTGTTTAGTTTTGTTTCCCTTTTAGCTGTTGTTTAGTTACCTTTCAGCTGTTGCTTTATTTCCCTTTTAGCTGTTGTTTAGTTTTGTTTACCTTTTAGCTGTTGTTTAGTTTATTTCCCTTTAGCTGTTGTTTAGTTTGTTTACTTTTAGCTGCTGTCTTGTAGCTTTTCTGTGCTTTTCTTTCAGTCGTAAGTTTGTCTCTTAGTTTGTTGTTTTTATCTTTCTGTCTGTAGTTTTGTTTAGTATAGATTTAGTTAA